TAACTCTCTGTGGGATATCGACTCCGGACTTGTAAACCGGATTATATTTGCAGCGACCGCATTGTCCTTTTTATAAGGCATAGTTGGGCGTGATCATTTAACTACTTAACTAACAAATTAAAATAGTAAATTAACAACTAACGATACTGAGGGTTCGAGAAAAGATTAAGGAGGTCTAGAGTTATGATTTCCCCTATTGTCGGAATCCTTCCCGCTATGTCTTCTATAATTTCGCCTAAATATTCTCTACCGATCATGAGCACTCTTATTGCCGTAAATCTCTCCCGAGTAATTATGACAATTTACTAGACGCACTCTCCCGAGCTACGCTAGGTGGCTTTTAATACAGCTCACTTCAGATCGCGCCCAAGGCTTCGTTATCCCTAATCCCACCTTTAAACCCTCGGTTATTGATCCCTCATATACTCTGGGAGTGGTGTTGTTCAACAACTACCTAAATATGCACTCTCTCCCGAGTTATGCATACTAAATAGGCACAGCTAATTGAGAGCTCTTCACCAGAATATAAACGTAGTTGAACAAATAGAGAAAAGCTATGGCTCAATTATATAAAAACATAACAAGAATTTATCCTACAAAAGGTTCTATCAAAACTCTAGATAACAAATTAGCTATTCATAATAGTATGTAAAACTACAATACTAAAAGTCATAACCAACAATGAAAAAAATAGGAAGAGGAAGGAAAAAACTCGTAGAAGAATTCTCCGCCTTGCTACCAATGTGTTCTTGCCTCCAAGGGTGTTGTCTAATCCTAAAGTAGTAACTCTCCGCCTCCTTAGGTCTAATTTGTGTCCAAAATATATCCTCCTCTTGTTCTTGGCCGGCCTCCTTTGTTTAATATAGGGTTTAGGACTTAAAATCCCATGTTTTGCACTTTAGTCCCTGAAATTTTCGCTTCCTGCCGCGGTGCGGTCGCGGTGGAACCGCGGCCAAACATGCCCTCTGATTCTTCAGTTGTCCGCGACCATCTTCTACCGCGGTTCTGCCGCGGTCGCGGTAAAACCGCGGTTTTTCACCCTGTTCCGTTTGGAATTTGGAAAAACGTAAAACATGAAAGTTGTAGCCTTTTGAGTTAGCTTTCCACCCATATATTGTGGAGCCCAAATGGAGTTCTGAGAAAAAAATTATGTTTATTTTACTAGACAGTGCGCAATATGCCTCCTCAAGTCTTCATTCGTACTTAATTATCAAATTTGACCTCCGAACACGATCCCGGCTTAATTCCTTGAGCTTTTACTCAGACTTCAAAGCTTCAAATCCCTTAAATTCATTCCATAACATCTATATAGCTCGGAATCACACCTACAAGGCATAAAACACACAATTAGTGCAAAACACTAGCGATTAAAGCGCAAACTCAATTAAAGTGCAGTAAATTCGAGTGTAATAAGCGACTAAAATATGCAATTATAGCCTATCATCACTACTTCTCAATTTTCTTGGGTTTCGAAAAAGTTTCTTTAATTTATCTATAGGTAAGTCATTAACATAAATTAAGATAAAAAAATATTATTATATTAAAGAATTAAAATAAGAGATAAAAATTGTAGAGGGTAAAATAGGCATTTTAAGAAGTCACCTTTGATATGAGGAGCAGAATGATATTTGTTCGAAGTTGGACGATGAGTTTGATTTTTAAAACAAACTTGGGGGATGTAAATAATTTTTACCTGTAAAGAATTGGTACTGTTCCAAAGCCAAGTTGTCATGTCCTATTAAATTTAGTTAGTTCCTGGGGCTATAGCCACACACGTCCCAGAAAGCATCCTCTAATGATTTTGGACAACTCACATATAGGCTAATTAATTCATAAGAAATTTTCATAAAGCACTATCTTTTAGTAGTAATTAGTCATCTATAGATACCATTTGCTATATTACAGATTATAGATACCTTTTCTGTGGTTATATGATGTATTTGATGTATTTAAGCTATTGTATTCATGAATACAGTAGCAAAAATAGGCGTGAATCAGGGAAGTCCAGCTAATCAGTTGTTGTATTCGAGTGTATTCGACTATATTCATGGCGTGAAACATGGGATTACAGCTGGACAGATTACTGTATTCGACTGTATTTGACTGTATTCACGACGTGAAACAGGGGATTACACTGTTTTTAAACAGAAAGTATATCAATTAACATAATAGACTACTAATATGACTCAACAAACTCAATTATAACACACAAAATTTGTATTTCCGGCTATAAAAAAGATTCTCAACTGGAAAAAACCCCAAAAACATAGCAATCTTCAGAGAAATTATATAATACATCTGAATACATAAGTTATATTAATTGAAAAAATATATGAATACATAGAATACAGCGGGATACATTGAAATACAATGAAAAAAAAAGACAGTGAATACAATAAAATACACGGAATACAACGAAATGCATTGAATTACAATGAAAAAAAAGACAATGAATACAATGAAATACATGAAAATACAGCGTGATACGTTGAAAATACATTGAAATATATTAACAGAAAATTAAGTTGCTCAACCCCAAACTCCGTCGTCTTTGCTCAACAACAAACCCTAATTTCCGCCTTGTAGCCAAATAGTCCTTCCATCTTCAAAGATCTTGCACGCTCAAACCTGGAGGAAGTGACTGCTTCAACTTGTCGGCCTTCTCAAAGTTGGACACACAGAGTGTGTAGAGGTACTTGGAGCAGCGAACCTTGAATTTGACCATATCCATATTCTTCTTGATCTTGACAGATCGTGCATCCTTCCTTAAACTAAAGTTTTTTGGGGTAAGCATAAAAACTATATATGGAGCTGTCAAATTTGTTGAACCAAATTAAACTAAATACTTAGCGAAAAAGAATGATGGTTTGCGCTTGTTTTGTGTGGGTTAGGGTTTGTTGTTGTTGTGCGTTAGAAGGAGGAGGAGAGCGAAAATTTTAATAGGATGGAGGAAGAGAATGGGATGTATCAAAGTAGAGAGAGAAAGAAAAAAGTGTAACTAATTAGCGTATTTAGTAGCTTAGGACTAGGAGGTAACCAAAATTAAATATTTTGCTGTAAATCTTAAAAGGTATCTATAGAATATAATATTTTTAAATGGTATTTATTTAAAATAAATAAGGTGTTAATCTTATTCCTTAATTCATACACTAAATATTCCTATATATACGAGCCAGATTTGGTTTAAGAGGCTTTGGTTTCCCTTAATTAATGCGATTCTTGAAAGAATGATAGGTTATATCTTTCTCTCTAGCCATATCAACATAGCGACCAAGCTGGTATTATTTTACCAATTCCATTGTTGCTTGTTTTTTCTTGGCCAAATACATATACAATCCATTCAACTTGGCCTTATTTTTCATTTTGGCACTTTATCTCAATCTTGTTCCATTTTGGCCCTCCAACTCCATTTTATATGTTTCATTTTGGCTCTCCAATTCTATTTCTTATGTTCCACTTTAACACAAAAGTTGAAACCAGTCCAAAAATATAGCGCGTGTGTATACACAAATCTGAGATGTAATAAATATCCAATTAAATATTGCCACATAATTTTTCATCCATGTCAAACGGGTCAATACTAAAATACCCGAACCCGACCATATTTTTTCATGAATTGTTGCCCCATCTTCATTCCCAAAGTTCCAAGACTTTCATCTGCCGATTTCATACCTGACCATCCAGAAAATTTCAAACTTTTGCAATTTTATTATTCGTTTATTTATTCTAATTTTTTTTGTGGGTTTATTTTATTTAAGCTTGAAGTTTGAAGTGAATCCATGTCTCAAAGAAAATTATTTTTTCATAATAGAATGAATTTTGTTCTTGTGGATTTCAAGTTGAACTGAAAGTATCATGGACACCAAAAAATCTAGGTCGACACTTTTATGGGTGTAAATTTGACAAAGTAAGTGAACCATTTTCAGATTTTATTTTCAGATTTTATTTTCAGTATTGTCATTTTCTTGTGTAAATAAGAAGCGGACTTGATTTTACCCAAATACGATCGGGTTCAGGTATTTTAGTATTGACCCGTTTGTCATGGATGAAAAAACCAGGTGGCAACATTTAATTGGATATTTATTACACCTCAGATTTGTGTATACACACGCGCTATGTTTTTTGCACTGGTTTCAACTTTTGTGTTAAAGTGGAACATAAAAAATAGAGTTGGAGGGCCAAAATGGAACATATAAAATAGAGTTGGAGGGCCAAAATGGAACAAGGTTAACATAGAGTGCCAAAATGAAAAATGATGCCAAGTTGAATGGGCTGTATATGTATTTGGCCTTTCTTCTTTCTTCCTTGAATTAATTTTTCTCACTAAATTTATACTTCGTTTTATTAAACCCGGTACAACAACATAGTCCAGTAGAATCTCACCAGTGGAGTTTGGGGAGGGTAGAGTGTACGCAAACCTCTACCCCAGATACCAAATATCCATTTCATTTTATTGATTGCTCTTAGAATAGGAAAGTAGTACAAGAAAAACATAGAGAGAAAAGAAGGAAAAAAAAAAAAGATAACTCATGACAAAAAAACACCGTGACCATAAACGAAACAAACCCAATTTAGGTCAACATATTATCTGTTTGTAACTTTTCTGGGCAGTATTTATTTATTTATTTTGTCTTAGCTGTTGTTAGTGCATTTACTGTAACTTAGATTAAAATCCAATTCCAGACATTTCACGCAAAGATTTACTATTCCATGAAAAGAAAAGAGGAAACATAAGAGCAGACGTACATTTTGGTAAAAGCATTACCCAATAATACAACTCCCAAGCAATTACTTGGTCAAACCAACCTCGAATAGAATTAATTAGTACATTAAATATCTCACCTAATTAAAGATAATTAAATCTTTATCAATTATATAAATCTATTTTGAATATTTGGTCAAGTCGCAATATTGACATATATAACAAAAATGTTGCTCACAGAACTCGATAAAATATGAATAATTTGTTTTAAAGGATACCAAGCTAGGTAGGGTATCTTGTTTACACGAGTATGAACTAATTAATTAGCCGAATTTGGGTTAGAAGTAGACTCTTAAAATATTATTAAGAGTTGCAAGAATCTTGACATCAAAGGCCCCATTCAAGATTTCCCAAATCGTACAGCCTAACAAACGTGATCTCTCCTCCTTTTTCTACTGAGATTTTATAGGTTATATCTGATACTTATTTAAGGTTGGAACTGATTAATTATTGGAATTAGTAGTGATCGATGGATAATTTCCATTCAATATTTCCTTTACAACAAGATGTTGACGATAATAATTCCCATCAGCTTCTTTATACCAACCCTTGTAATTTCCTATACCAACAAGATCTGGTAACGGATTTTGCACCGTTGGAGTTGGACAAGAACAATCAGAAGGGAAATAAGGCAGGAAAAGCGTCAGCTGCTTCTCTCCCAGTAGAAAAAACTAGTGATGACAAACAGAAGAAAGTCATGCATAGAGAAATCGAACGGCAAAGAAGACAAGAAATGGCTACTCTTTATGCTTCTCTTCGACAACAGCTTCCTCTTGAAATTATTAAGGTTTGAGAAACAAGAAATGTGTTCCTTTTTTCTTTATATTTCCCAACTTGAAATGATGTTATAGATAATGAATTAATTTCTTTTATCTTTGTTAGTGTTGTAATAAATCAGAAACTTTTTATTCAACTTCTTCTTCCAATTGAATTGAATATATTCCTATCCTCCTATTTTTAGCAAAATTTGATCAATTTTATATTCCATTAATGGACTCATTAAATTTGCCTAAAAGAATATATAAATGTTGAACATTTTCAGGGAAAACGTTCGACATCGGACCACATATTTGAGGCGGCGAATTATATAGAACACCTGCAGAAGAATGTTAGGAATTTGGAAGACAGGAGAGAAAAGTTAAACAAGGCTTCAAATTCAAGCAATCGTGATTATACCATAAGTGGTAGCTCGTCAACTACTGACTCCTCGTCGTCTACAATTGTGACAGTGAAGCAATGCTTGGACGGCATCGAGATTTTGGTCAATTGTGGCGTCGAGAGTGAAGGTTTTCGCCTTTCTAGGGTTCTTCAAGTATTACTTCAACAAGGGCTTAGCATTGTGAACTGCAGCTGCACCAAAACTAGTACAAGTTTACTTCATACTATCCGAACTGAGGTATAAATACTGAAAATTGATGACTTCTTTTCATGCTCATTAACAGTGTGATGGAGCTAGAAATTTCAACAAGGGAATTTAGAAAAAGAGGGAATACTTTTGAATTTGTGCAGTAAAATGAAGAACACATATTTTGTGTGGTTATAAATCATTGCATAAAGGTGAATTTTTTCCAAATAAGGAAAATTGTTATTCTTTTTGGCACGAACTAAAAAGGAAATAAGTTCAAATAAATTGAAACGGAGGGAATATGAATAACTTTCGAACAAAGGGAATTCAGTTAAATCCTTTTGGATCATGTTATGCCGCTCCTAAACTCATACATTGCCTTTTTAGTACTTAACCTCTCTGAATATGAAAGATCATTAATTATTCGTTTTGTTTTGCGATTTTCGCAGGTTGCCTCTCAGGCAGGGATTGATGTGCATGTGATCCAACAGAAACTCTCTGATATAAGTTTCAGTTGACTCTCCATTGGATATTGTTGTGTCATTCCCCACCACCTACAGGTTTTTGCGATCTTTATTGAAATATGAAACCTTTAATTTTTCTTTCAGTAGTAACTTTTATTGGAATAAAACGGTTCTAATAGAGTGAAATGGATCGGACAGCGAGGATTCACATAGTCAACTCTGACTAAACGCGGCACTATTGTTGTTGTTGTTGTTGTTGTTTTAGTCTGACCTCTTTCAGTTCAGTTTTTCCTTAATGTACGAAAAAAATAGTTGGATTAAGTTTCTGGCATATGAATTCAGAGATTCCCGAACCCTCTTTTTTGTTGGGTAATTTGAAGTGTCTTCAGCCACACCTTTTGATGTGAAGCAGGGAATGTTAGGTTATAGCAGTGGATCCAGAATTTTAAATTGATGGGTGCTCGCCGATAAAAAATCCAAAAGAAGAGGAAAAGTGAGTTTATTTGTGGGTGCTCACTCTATATTTAACTAACTATTTTTATAATTGCCTGTGTAAATTTACTAAATCTGGTTAAAAGTAATGGGTGCTCAAGCACTAATAAATGTCCATGTACATCCGCCACTCCGCCAGCATTTTAGCTTTCGTTTTGAATTTAATCTTGTCTTGATTATTTACCAAAATTTTGCTGGACAGATGTATATGTTTAAGAATACATGCAGGAGATTTGTGAATAAAAGAAGTTTGTTCTTCTAGTCAGCTAAATGAATGCATCTTGACATGTATAAATCACTAATTTCACAATCATTTGGGCAATTTCCATATGTACTCTACTGAGCTCGTTTTTGTGGCTGTTTAGTGCTCCACTACACTTAACTTCTTGTCAGTGGAGTACATGTAAAAAAAAAAAAAAAAAAATATTGTCTGGCAAATGACCAAATTTGTTTTTAAACTGCTCAATTCCGCCCTCTTTACATTTTTGGCATATTCATACCCTTGTTGTTAACAAATGATCTCGTATTTGCCCTTATCATTAGCTGATCAACTCCAGCATTAAATGGATGTAACAAAATTCTTCAAGGGAAAAAAGATTCATATTTAACCTCAATTTTTGAAAATAATTTAAGACGAGCGAAGTGATGAATAACTTGGTAAATGACACTAACCTCAGAATATGTAAATGACTAATAATTATGAATTTATGATGGAAAGATTGGTTAGTTCTAGCTATTAGAAGGCATCACTTGTTAACTAACGAGAGATTTTTATCTTTTCCTTATCACTAGCATTTCCGATATATGTTACATTTTAAGTTTGCGTAATGGATTAATGCGCCATAACTCAACTCTGAAAATTACATTAAACTACAGACAAGTATAAAAGAAACCTAAAAACAGCCTATTCCAGCTAGCACGCAAGTATCATGTCTCAATCAAGAAATATTACCAAAAAGTTTAACCCCCCTATTATAGTATATATATATATATACTGATAACTTGGATCATATGTTTCACATATAATTGGTAGATGATAGAGTAGAGCATAAATTGAAGACAATATAAACACATGCTTCACGTCCAACTCGTGGGATTTTAAAATTCTATTAAAAGCAGCCGTTAGAGCAACAGTATTATTCAATTCATTAAAAAGTAGAATTACTGTACTATAGGCTGAATATCAGTGGCGCTGCTGGCAAATAAGATAAAGACAGCTATTTGTCAATCTTGCTTTATTTCAAAACTAAAATTCAATTGGACGGACGGTCCAAGAATTTCACACACACATACAAAAAAAGTGATTTCAGTCAAAGAAATTCTTTATGAGATGAGCCGAAAGTCATCTCTGACATGGAAAAGTCATCCCTAGGTTAAGCAATAAAGAAGTAGTACAATTCTTGTCACCCACTTATCACATTTGATGGATTTTTAAAGAATTTAAATTATATATATATATATTGATAATATAAAAATTATTTCTATTATTACTGAATTTTAATTTGTGATAATGTCATAGTACTATATTACTATTAATTAGTATTTATAAAATTACTATTAATTAGGGTGTGTTTGGTATAACGGAAAATGTTTTCCGTGGAAAATATTTTCCAAGAAAATATTTTTTTGGAAAACAAGTAATCATTCATTTTCCGGTGTTTGGTACGCAATTAAGAAAAATGACTTCTCAAGAGTATTCATAAATAATTTAGATATAATAAATATGAAACCATAAACTTTCAAATCAACAACCTTCCGAACCCACAAATTTCATAAACTTTCGAACCGTTAAACTTTCGAAACTGCGGAATTTCGAACTCGTAAACTTTATAATTTCTAAACCCATACACTTCCAAATACATAAACCTCGAAACTTTGGAACTTGTAAAATTTTGAACCTTTAAACCGATAAATAAAAAAACTAAAACTGAAAAACATATTTAAANAATATGACTTTTCAAGAGTATTCAGAAATAATTTGCGGGGTAGGGGGGGCAAAAAAACGAAAAAACAGAAATTTGAAATTGCAAAAAAAACATAAGGTAAAAAAAATATTTTTTTTGCGGGAGGGGTGGGTGGGTGGTAACGGAAAAACTGAAATTTGAAAAAAAAAAAAAAAAACGCTTTTTTTTGGACAGAGGGTGTGGGGTGGGTTGGTGAGGGTGGGGAAGGTTGAGAAGGAGTTTTGGAAAATGAATTCACAAGGAAAATATTTTCCAAAACATTTAAGCCAACCAAACATGGAAAAATTGAAAAATATTTTCCGAAAATTTTCCTTCATACCAAACACACCCTTAGTGTTTATCAAAAAGCTTACTAGTAATTATCTAATACTAGGTGGTGCTGGCCCTTGCCAGCATGGGCCCAATATGATAAAAGCTGAAATTATTAAAATTTTTTTACTCTATTTTGATATGAAATGGCATAAAAGAGGATCAGATGCATGCAGGGGCGAAGCTACAGTTATTTAAGGGTGGTCCTTCGTCAAAAAATTACACTGTATATATAATTAAAATATTAGGTTTTAGAGGTAAATAACATATATTGAACACCCTTTGCCGAGGAATTGTTTCACTTCTTTCAAGTTAGAACACCCTTCAACAAATTCCTGGCTTCGCCACTGGATGCATGTAAAAATTTCTCAAATATAGACAATATTGCTGGATATAAGTAGATATAATTTGAAACAATTATCCACTCACGAATATAGTATGATCCCCAAATGATACACTGTTTACATCTATGGGAGCGCAACGACAATACACAAATGACAGTTTTCTTCCATCATAATCAGCCACAATAGTAAAAGAGATGGATTAGGTATGCCCTTGCTCAAAGTTTAGGCTTGATGATCTTGGCATTTTTGCAAGTGAACTATATGTTACCGTCAATGTTCTTGGGAAGCTCCCGCTCCTCATCCTTCTTTCTCTTTCATGCTTTCTCCATTATTGATCACGCCCAACTATGCCTTCTAAAAAGGGAATTAACCTACCAATTACTTTTGTTAGACTCACTAAATTCTTCGTAATCAACTTCCCAAATATTTGGAATAACAATTGGTGATATTTTTACTAACTATAACTGAATGAAGTTAATTAAACTAAGAACTAACTATGATTGAGTTGTTAACAAATAAGAGAAGGATCTAAGGTTGTGATTTTCCCTATTGATGGAATGCCTTCCTGTTATGTTTCGCATGTCTTTTTCGATCATGAGCACTCTTACTACCGTAAATCTCTCCCGAGTAATTACGACAATTTACTAGACGCACTCTCCCAAGTTACGCTAGCTGGCTTTTATTACAGCTCACTTTAGATCACACCCAAGTTTTCGTTATCCCTAATCCCATCTTTAAACCCTCGGTTATTGATTCCTCATATACTTTGGGAGTGATGTTGTTCAACAACTACCTAAATTTGCACTCTCTCCCGAGTAATACATACTAAATAGGCATAGCTAATTAAGGATCCTATCAATTAACTACAACAAAAACGTAGTTGAACAAATAGAGATTAAACTGGGCAAACTATATTAACACAACAAGAAGTTCATCCTCAACAGGTTCCATCAAAATCCTAAACTAAATAATTAGCTACTCATAATCGTGTTCATAATAACAGCAAAATTCAACATGAATGATAACTACAAAAGGAAGAAAGGTAGAACTCGATGTCGAATTATGCTCCTTGCCTCTTGCCTCTTCTTGCCTTCACAAAAATCTATAAAAACCTTGATAATGTCTTTTTGGGCGAGCTGGACCTTTTATAGGTTAAGTGGAATTACCCCCAAACTTCCAAGTTTACCCCTGAACTATTGCACTCCTGATTTGACTAGTGCGGCCACGCTCGAACCGCGCTAGTGGCCGCGCATATCGCTGAGTGTTCTGCCTCGATTTCCTTGCTCAAGCGCGGTCGCGCTAAGGCCGCGCTAGAGTGAATAAGCCTTTTTTCTCTTCTTTTCTTTCTTCTTTTACACGTACTCAGCTCCGAGGGGCTTCCCTTGCTTTAATTTAGCTCCAAACACTGTCCTAAGTCTTCATAAGCACAACTTGCTCCTGTAAAACATGAAATTCACAATTAGAGCCAATTTATTGTCATTTAACCATCCTAGAGCAGTGAAGCATAGTCAAGTTGGGGCATAAACAGTCGCCAAACTACATGAATCTAGCCTATTATCAGTCATCATACAAATGTTCTTATCATCCTTATTTTATTCTTGACATTCTCCTC